GGCCGTGGTTTTGGCCAAAATGCAATGGACCCTGACCCTCCTCGTAAAAGGACATTGGATTTCCCTCTGGTGACACATGGGATGCATCATAAACCCTCCCCCACAGCCCGGTCAGCACGCTCGTCCCTCCAACGACGAGTTTTGTGGTTTTTCAGAACAGAAATGAGATTAGCATTGATGGCTGTCGTGTTGGGAAGACATCGTCTCCATGAGCTTTGGGGGAATTTTTATGTGGAATAAATAAACTATCACCAAGAAGGGAGGTTTACTCTTTTTTCAATTATAGTGGCAGGCCGGGCACGGTGGCTCACACCTGTAGTCCCAGCACTTTGGGAGGCGAAAATGAGTGGATCACTTGAGGTCAGGAGTTTGAGACCAGCCTGGCCAACATGGCGGAACCCCGTCTCCATTAAAAATACTGAAATTAGCCAGGCATGGTGGTGCGCACCTGTAATCCCAGCCACTCGGGAGGCTGAGGCAGGAGAGTTGCTAGAACCCAGTGGGGCGGAGGTTGCAGCGAGCCGAGATCGAGCCACTGCACTCCAGCCTGGGTGAAACAGGGAGACTCCATCTCCAAAACAAAAGAAAACCTCACTCATTCACTCCTTCATTCATTTAGGGGCACTGGGGGGTTAGGACCTCACACCACTCCCAGCCCAAGTGGAGGGGCTCAACCCAGGGACCTGGGGCCTTGATGGGACCAGGAGGAAGGGACTTTAATGATCAGAGAAGCAACATACAAGCAGCCATCAGCCAGGCCAGTGGAAGGAGGGGTGTCCCCAGCAGAATGACCCATGGGGACAAGGCCTGGGACAGACAGAGCTGGGCAGCCAGAGAGGACCCAGCGGCCAGATCCGCTATCATCGGTGTTTCAGAAAAACCCAGGACTAAATTAAGGGCTTCGTCACCTGGTCACTTTCTTTTTATTAAGTTTTTGTTGGTTTTTTGAGACAGAGTCTCTGTTGCACAGGCTGGAGTGCAGTGACACAATCTCAGCTCACTGTAACCCTCGTCTCCTGGGTTCAGCGGTTCTCCTGCCTCGGCCTCCCAAGGAGCTGGGATTGCAGACGTCTGCCACCACGTCTGGCTAAGTTTTGTGTTAAGTAAAGACGGGGTTTCACCGTGTTGGTCAGGCTGGTCTCGAATTCCTCACCTCAGGTGATCCTCCTGCTTTGGCTTCCCGAAGTGCTGGGATCACAGGTGTGAGCTATTGTGCCCAGCCCTTTCGTGTGTTTTAAAAAATCAGGGTTTTCCTCTGTGGCCCAGGCTGGCACGCAGTAGTGCAATCACAGCTCACTGCAGCCTCAACCTCCTGGGCATAAGATCCTCCTGCCGGGCAGGGAGGATGTGGAGGGATAACATGGGGAGAAACGCTCGATTTAGTATACAGCTAAAGTAAAATTTAAAAAAACTCATCCAACTGTGCACTTAGGATCTATGCATCTTATTGTATCTAAATTACACATCAGTGAAAATGTAATTTAAAAATTTAAAAACTGAACAGGTTATTTGAGAGCTGCGATTATTCAGAGCCTTCAATGTTCAGAGCACAGTTCCTGGTAGCTAGTAGATGATGAATAAATATTGGTTAAACTGGGAAAAAAAAAAGAGACCCTCCTGCCTCAGCCTACCCAGCTTTTTTTTTTTTTTTT